GAATTAGTTGTGCGTCACAATTCATGGGTCTCATATGGTGATACACAGAGACAAGAAGAGAGATTCCGAGTTTGATATCGCACTGACGCAGTCGAATTGGATGTTATGATCCACGCGACCTCGAAATTTCCGGATACATAGTTTCGACAGTGCGACACATCCTCACAATGTTATTGATCATACTCCTGTTCAACTGCATTCGGCACATACTCTGTGCAAAGTTTATCCTCGAGAACATGTGATGGGGTACAACGTTGTTCAATGCTTTGAACAGGGTCAACGCAATTCAACTCCAGATCAGAGAGTTGCTCGTCTGAATCATGCCGTTATCATACCACCAACTGGGGGTGTAGTAGTTGCTCCACACTGCCTAGAGTGTTTATAGTTCGGTTTAAGATGTTTTGACCCTGTTGCGCATCCGACTTCGGATCGGAAGGTTGCCCGGTCGGATCAAGCCGAGACCCTGCACCTGTTTCCATGTATGAAGTGGGGAGTGTAGCGATCACTCTGTCTTGTCTTTAGTGCTTAAATAACATATTCAGTTTGGCCCTGTGGCGCAACGGTAGCGCATCTGACTCCAGATCAGAAGGTTGTCCGTTCGAATCGGGCCGGGGTCACATAGCTAGTTTATTATATGAAGTGAGGGATGTAGCGCTCGCTCTGTCTTGTCTTGAGCGTTCAAATATTTCTTTCAGTTTGGCCCTGTGGCGCAACGGTAGCGCATCTGACTCCAGATCAGAAGGTTGTCCGTTCGAATCGGGCCGGGGTCACATAACTCGTTTGTTATACGAAGTGAGGAATGTAGCGATCGCTCTGCCTTGCCTTGAGTGATCGAATATATTTTTCGGTTTGGCTCTGTGGCGCAACGGTAGCGCATCTGACTCCAGATCAGAAGGTTGTCCGTTCGAATCGGGCGGGGTCACATAACTAGATTATTATATGAAGTGAGGAATGTAGCGCTCGCTCTGTCTTGCCTTGAGCGTTCAAATAGTGTTTTTAGTTTGGCCCTGTGGCGCAACGGTAGCGCATCTGACTCCAGATCAGAAGGTTGTTCGTTCGAATCGGGTCGGGGTCATGGTACAAATCCGTATGACGTGAGGAGTGTAATGCTCACTCTATGTTGCCTACAGTGTTCAACATAGTTTGGTCTTGTGGCCCAAAGGAATCACTCTACAAATCGGGTCAGGAGTCAGGCAACAAGGTTTGTGATTGACAAAAGTTTGACGCCGCTGCGCTGATTCTTTCGATGGAGTCGACATCTCAGAGTCTGAGACTCAGACCCCGCACATCGATCGGAAAACAGTCTACAGATTCTGGGATAGACACCGGATTCGCATAACATGCGAACAGGAGCATTTGGCAACTCACATGCGACTTCGGGTTAATTAGCAAAGCACTGCTGAGATAGGTCCTACGAACTATCTTCATGTTTAGAAATGATAGAAGTGGCGTAACAAGTATGTGTGTGTGTGAGTTTAAAGTCCAACGCCGCCAACATGCCTTAGTTAGACTAACATCGCATCACCTCATCGGCTAAGAGGAGATCTAACGTTGACCGTTCTCCAACACGATGCAGCCTTGAAGGATTTTTATGAATTTTTATGCCTCAAAAATTCCCAGACACGATTGCATCCACACATCAGTGGTATACCGTTGTAACGACACGATGCCACCCTTGCTCGCCCGAACAATGCGACGATCAACTCTGCGCAATGAGAAACAAGTGAAACACTGTTCGATGTTTTACAATACACCATTGAGTTTGGAAGCTTTAATGAGTTTACGAGCCTCCTTGACTGCGCGCCTCTTGTAATCGCCAAACACCTCGT